CAGTTTCCATGAAAACTGTATCTTCAAAAATAATAATAATAATAATAATAATAGCTATCAAACAAGCTCTTAATCAATCAATGCCAAATCTCAAGACACGATCTAGGTATGTTCAGGTCAACAAATATGGGGATTGGTGTATTTCTTAAATGCTAACCTGAGAACCCCAGGTTCTTGTGCCCCCACTCTACAGATTCTGATCCAAGCTTTTCAAGAAGAATTCTTTTTGTTTTCTGTTTTGTCTCCTGTAGATTATTATTGGTAGAGATATTATATGGAATTATCAAAAGAGAGGTAACATACTTGGTATTAGAGAGGTGAAACAAAAGAGAGGTAACATACTTGGTATTAGAGAGGTGAAACAAAAGAGAGGTAACATACTTGATATTAGAGAAGTAAAACAAAAGAGAGGTAACATACTTGGTATTAGAGAGGTGAAACAAAAAATAAAAAAATACATGTGTAGAAGTTAAAAAAGACAAGTTAAAGATGCAGTAATTAGCGATCATATCAATACAATGAAGACGACTTAAAAATGGTGCTTTAATCACTAACAAGAATTCTTCAATTTACAAGTTTAGCAAATTAATTGATAACTTCTGTAGTTGTTTATATGTTGCGTGTCTCTGCTGTTTTAAAGGTTGATTGAAAGTTTAAATAGAAATAGAAAGGTGTCTTAAATATATTGCTATTATAAGAATAAGAATTTAAGATAAAAAAATAAGATTTAAGCTAGATTTGACTGAAGGAGAAAAAAATATATATCTAAACTTTGTAACAAGTTATTCTTTAGGAGTTAAGAATATGAGATAGAGGGTGTCACAATAAATCTTGATTACATCTTAAATTTTTCTAAAATGTAGTTTTCCCTCTTTATACCATGTAGCATGGAGTTTAATTATTTGGGCAAGAATATTAAAATTGCAGTTGGGAGTGGGAGACGCAGGGGGTATAATCTAAGCGCCCCTGCCTCAATACTTGTTTGTTTACCTTCAGCAGCTGATTGACAAACTTCCAGTTAGTTTCTGCTATACTAGCTTGACTAGGTGTTAGGAGAGGAATATTCTGACTAGGGATTAGATTCACGTCAAGTACACGAGATCTTCTATCCCCCCTGTACAGTGTAATATTTATATACAGTACATGAGATCTTCTATCCCTCCTGTACAGTGTAATATTTATATACAGTACACGAGATCTTCTATCCCCCTTTACAGTGTACATGCAAACATTTATACACAGTACCCGAGATCTCTTAAATAAACTTTGAAAATATTTTATTAAGTAAGAAAAATATAAAAATAGCAAAAAAATCTAAACAAATAACACATTTAAAAAGAAAAGTTTAATTTCTCCCAAGAATCGAAGGAAGCTGGCCGGGATAAGTTAATATCTCAAAGAATTAAAAAGTACAATATTCGGATCTAGAATTAAGGAATCTAGCATCATTTATCACGTTCTCTTTAGGAAAAGAAACCGCAATAATGCTGACGTACATCCATTCTTACATCATAACTTTAGAAAATAATACCAGGTTTTCATTGTTTCAGCTTGTTGTTACTACTTTATCTGCAAATACTGCAAATTTCGTTCATTTTTAAGTTACAGACCTATAAAAAGACCTACAAAGAGACCTACAAAGAGACCTACACAGAGACCTATAAAAAGACCTACAAAGAGACCTACACAGAGACCTATAAAAAGACCTACAAAGAGACCTACACAGAGACCTATAAAAAGACCTACAATCGACAATAAAAAAATATTCCAAGCTTCCAAATTAAAATGGGTTAGAGAGACAGTGTATTGTGTTGAGAATAGAAAAATCTGAAAGATATTTACATAAAAGATCACAGAGGGAGCATATTTTCTTTCTTCATTTCTACAGAATTGAACTAAATCCTGTATGTTCTATACATTGTCCTCAGAAGGGGAATATCCTGATTAAACACAAAATATTTCCTTATTATTCAGTCAAACAGGTTAATGGGACTGTAAGAATAAACTTCCCTCAGAAATGNACACGAGATCTTCTATCGCCACTTTACTGTGTAACATTTATATACAATACACGAGACCTATTATAACCTGTAGAGTGTGCATTGTACATAGTAACATTCACATATAGTATACGAGATCTTCTATCCATCCTTTACACTGTACATGTAAACATTTATACACAGTACACAAGATCTTCTAACCCCCCTGTACAATGTTCATATAAACATTTATATACAGTACACGAGTTCTTCTATCCCCCCTGTACCGTGTACATAGAAAAATTCATATATAGTACACGAGATCTGCTATCCCCCCAGTACAGTGTGCATAAATATAGTCAATTACAGTAATTGCATGCCTCTTTATCTGTATACACATAACCTATAAACAGTACATGCCACCTATCTTTATGTTCAAAGTACATAAAGAACTAACAGTATTTCCTGATTGTTTCTACAAACTTAAAATCTCATTTTTAACTTTAACATTCCTACAAAATGTTTAAACAGGAAGATTGAAACTGAAGTTTAGTGTCTCTGGAACTTCTCAAACTTGTCTAATGCAACAGTTTCAAACTTTTCAAGGGACTGTTCAGAGTTATAGATTTAGAAATTAGGTTTAATTTCAACAAAGCTCAACTACTGGTTTGGGCTCATCGTGAATCAAACCGCACCAAATCAAACCAATCCAATATAAAAAAATAAAATAAAATAAAATAAAACAAAATAAAATAAAATGAAATAAATAAAATCAAACCTTAAATCAAATCAAATCAAATAAATTCTAGCACCATAGTGTACTCTAAAAAATATTTTCTTGATAACCAAAATTTCTGACTATTTCATAACAGTCTCTTTATTTTCTATACTTTAACTACAAGGGTGTATATATTCCTAAAAACTTATTTCGCTCCTTTTATAAAACATATACGCCCCCCAGAAGTTATTTTGCAATTTTTTATTGGTTTTTTATGCTAAATTGGGGAAAATAAATGAGTTTTAGGGAAAATTAATGATTTTTGTGGTAAAAAACATCAAACTATTGTACGAACTTGCCTTTTTGTCACATTTTACACTTTTTCCCAAAATCATCAAAATTCTGTAAATATACTCCCCTGTTTAACTCTTCAGTTGAGAATAATTTTGAACAATTTTAAGGATTTCAAACTTTTCCAAATCTTTCCTACTGGACAGAGATGATGAGGGATATTTAAAGAAAGGATGTCTAAAAAATCAGAGTGTTTAAAGGGACTGTAAAGGAAAAATGAAAGGGGGTATAGGCTGAAAGCTAATCACTTTAGCTCTTGATCGCGACCCCTGAAAGTTATATCTGATGTTCCTATCTCGAGAAATTGATTTACAACTTTGTCAAATTTATACGAAAATTTATACGAAATTTATACGAAATTTATACAATTTTGTATAAAAGTAGTGGGTTTAAAAAGATCAAATTCAGCAAATATGCGACCAATCTGAAAACGATGATATCCCAGAGAAAGCTAATTGTAACTTACGTTTACTCCAATTCTAATTTTATATTTGTTATTTCTATTTTTATAGATTTAATTCATAATATTATTTATACGTCCGTATTACTTGACCAGAAATTCCACCTATGGCAGTGCAGTAAAGTGGTCACGTGATACAGGCGGAGACATGTGACCAGTATACTGCTCTGCCATTGGTGATAGTTCTGGTTACATAATTTAATTTTCAGATTTTCAAAATTTGACATACATGAATTTTGGTATAATTTTAACACAGTTTTATATCAATTTCTCGAGACAGGAACACAAGATAAAACTTTCATGGGTTGCGATCAAGAGCTAAAGTGATAAGCTTTCAGCCTATACCCCCTTTCATTTTTCCTTCACAGTCCCTTTAATAAAACTTAAAAAGAGGGGGGGGGGCGGGGGCCTTAGTACCAATTTATGCTTGAAAACCCTGTAGAACATGTTATTCGGAAATATATATATGTATATATTAGAAGCCAAAGAAGCATATAATTATTAATTATATTTCAGAATCCGATGCTATTATAAACCACTTTATGGGCTCTCTAGTCTCAAACATCTTGAATCAAAACACATTAAAAAGAATCACACACAATAAATAATTATAAATATAGTTCTAAGAATTTTTGCTCTCCAACTTTTCTGTATATTTGCTTCCATGAAACAACTCTCAGCTTGCCACATGATCTGATTCAATCCACCCGCACGAGGGAGGGAAGGCAACCTCCCCACACAGCTTCCGAACCACAATTTACCTTTTTGCGGCACTACTATTATAAAAGGAAGAACATTCCGGGAAGACTGTTTGGGGGAGGATCGGAAGCCCTATGGGGACGCACAGAGCCGCAAATAGGCAGAATAAGATTTGGTAGCTGTGCAGGAGAGTTAGCCTTCCTTTTCTCGCAGAACAAGAGTGCATAGAATAAAACCGTCGAGACATGTTATAAATGATCTCAGCATTCATGACAGAGACAGAGCCAGACATTTTAAAGAGTGTAGTTCAATGAAACTCCCCAGAAGGGGTCTCCAGATTTTTGATAATACTTTCAACCAATAAGTGATATCTACAAAATTATCATACCCATTTACAAAACCGGTGTCATGCATAGAGACAACTCCCTCCATGAGTTTTCATCATTTCAACACAATATTAGGCATGAGAACCAATACGATAACATTTTCCAATACTTATTAATGTATTTTGACTGGAAAAATACATTAAAAATTATCTATGTCTCAATTAAATATTAATTGTGTGATGATTTGAGAGGAAGAATACATTTAAAAGGAAATAACTTTTGTTGCCAACCCCCTATAAAATACATTTCAGAACTAACTGCGTATTTAATATATGTCAATTAATGATTTTCAATGTTTTATCATTGCTTTTTAATTCAAACATTGTGCTGAAATGGTAAGAACTTCACAGAGGGAGGTGTTTACATGCAAGGAAATTGTCCTCATGCACTACATTGGGTTTTATAACGATACTTAGTCTCAGTGGTAAAAAGTGTACCACAATTGAGACCAAATTCAACCCATTATGTACTCTTTAAACTCTAACCCATTATGTACTCTTTAAACTCTAACCCATTATGTACTCTTTAAACTCTAACCCATTATGTACTCCTTAAACTCTAAAAATTTACCTGATAAAAACAGCTGTAGAATTATCAGTCTGTTTTCTCCGAAAAAGATTAGGATCAAATAAAGGGAATACTCCCAACTCAACTCCTTTCTATAAAACTCAGAACTTAAAATCATCATCTCACAACCCCCTTAACATAAGCTTAATCATAACTTCTTTAAGATCTCAGGCAACCATTATTATGAATTTGAAGATAAATCTAATGATTAATACCAGCACAGTTTCCATGAAACCTGTATCTTCAAAAATATTATCAATATTTAGTTGTGATTGCAGTTTAATGTGCACTAATTTAAATTAGTGTCCACTTCAAATTTCATTGAAAATGTTTGAAAAAACTTTAAATCCTACCATCCTAACAAGACATTTTCCTCTAAGCTAGGAAAATTTATTTTAAGTAAAAATTATCAGAAATACGAGGATGTTGTCAATTATTTAATTTGAACTGTGTGAGAATTGCATTTTTTTCAATAATTGTGATAAAGTTTGGTTTCCTTTTTGATTGATTGGTCAGACTTTCTAGTTTTCTTCTGGGGAGAAATTGTGAGCTCAATCTTACTGTTATATTCAAGTTGGAATAGATTTTAGTTTTTATACACTGGTAAACGTTTATATCAATACAATGAACACAACCTTTTCTATCAAAATGACAAGTTTGCAAGAAAGAGAAGCTGTTAATAAGCAGCGTCTCTTTCTTTCCATGTATCTTCATGCCACGTTTAAAAGTAAAGGCTATTCATCAAAATTCACTTCCCTTGCTCACTTAATGATTGAATTTGATTCGGCGGAAACAGCCTACGATTTCTGAGCAGCAATTCTTTGTTAGTTCTTAGGACATTTTCTTTAATTCACTAGCTACACTGTGGTTACTAATTTGATAGTACTCAGCGCTTGCTAAAGTATTAGTCATCACCTTGTAACAGAGGTCCATATAATTCCAGTTCAGATCCCAAATGGGATCGGGGTTTTAAGTACATTTAGGGACATGAAAGTACACTTTTTATGTCATTGTGAAATTTGACAAGTTTCTGTGTACGTGTACTACACTTCAAAAATGTGTACTGCATTTGGGGTTTTAAAAGATGTAAATATTGGTATTTAATATGAGAGATAAATTATGATATACAGAAAAATAAACACTCCCTAGCAGAAAACATTCTGCAGTATGAAATTTTTTCCTACAGCTTTATTCTTCCAATTGTTTACAAAAACAACATGGTTTATTTCTGCCCCTAATATCAATCAATCAACATTTGGGATTGATCAGATGGAATTATATGGACCCCTGCCTTGTAATCATATAAAGTTTTCATAAGCCCAGCTTGTAATCATACAATGTACACATTTTTTAAGTCTGGGCAATCTAACTAACACGGTTTTAGAATCCAGGTTATACAATTAAGTACACAGCGGAGAGTAAGTGATAAAAATATCATATTATTTTTAGAATAAGTAAATTAAGGAAAACGTTTTGCTAAGAACATAATTAAAATAAATTTCTTATCGGAAATAAGGAGGAAAATTGGCTAATTGAAATTTGGTATTATATTACATCTACTAGTTTCTTACTTCTAATGGAATCATATTTTAATCAATAATTGTGCTAAAAGCTCATTCAAACTCTTCAAATAAAAATTATGGAATTAGATTAATCTAAATACAACAATGTCAAAATGTACGTTGTTTCATAAGTGTTTTATTTGGTTTCCACCGTGAAACAAAAGCAACAATTTACATGTATTTTCCACAAAATTCCTTTTTTGAAATATTTGTTTGGTAACATCCAGTTACAGTTGAATTTCTGATGGGTGTATTTTATGATATGAATTCATGTAATTCTATATTAAAAGATAGAATTTAGCACAAAAATGAGTCTTAAAGTAGAACAANCATAAAACGTATTACTCTCCGGAAAATTTAATGTTAACTTTATTAATTGCACTTGAACATTTTTCCTGACACTCTTGAAACAAATATGCGCTAAAAAAATTCACCTCCAAAGGCTTAAATGTCCGCGCGCGCGCAATAAAAGAAAATATCTTTAAATACTTATGTGCTAAGTTTGGCCTAAGTAAGAATAACAGTTGCATGAGATACATCAAAATATAGCAAAATTTGGACAAGGAATTCATTTCCGAGGTCAAAATAGACATTGGAGCATTCTGACCGGAGCGCTAGTAGCCAACTATTACATTATGGGTCATCTTAGTACATTTTTTAAATGTCGTATGTCGATTTATAGGAAATTTGGCATGAAGAATTCATTTCTGAGGTCAAAATAAATATTCGAGCATTCTGACCGGCTCGCTAGTAGCTGGCAGTTACATTATGGGTCATCTGCCTACATATTTACATGTTGTATGTCGATTTATAGGTTATTGGGCACGAGGAATTCATTTCTGAGGTTAAATTTAATATTGGGAGCAATCTGACCGACAAGCTAGAAGCCAACCATTACATATTATGGGTCATCTTAGTACATTTTTAACATGTTGTATGTCGATTTATAGGTAATTTGGCATGAGGAATACATGCCCAATTACCTATTAATCGAAATACAAAATGTAAATATGTGGGAAGATGACCCATAATATCGAACTGCTGGTTACAAGCGTGCCGGTCAGAATGCTCCAATTTTAAATTTGACTCGAAAATGAATTTCTCGTGCCAAATTACCTATAAATCGACATACAACATGTAAATATGTGGGAAGATGACACATAATGTAACTGCCGGCTACTAGAGCGCCGGCCAGAATGCTCGAATATTTATTTTGACCTCAGAAATGTATTCCTCATACCAAATTACCTATAAATCGACATACAACATGTAAAAAATTTACTAAGATGACCTATAATGTAACTGCAGCTGGCTACTAGCGCGCCGGCCACAATGCTCGAATATTTATTTTGACCTCAGAAATGTATTCCTCATGCCAAATTACCTATAAATCGACATACAACATGTAAANCCTATCTAATTTAACTCAATTAAATCCGAAATATGAAAAGCATTCATTAACCCTTTCAAACATTAATAGTTCAATGGTAACTAAAATAAAGTGGCATAGGCAGACGACTCAAAATTTATATTCTGTGTCACACATTTAGTTTAAAAAACGGATGAATCAAGAAGAAAATTGTCATTTGAAGCAACAAACTTTTTAACACATATGTTAAAAACATATTATTTCATTCATATAATATGAAATGTTAAGTGCAACATTTACCAGATTTTACATTTACGGGAAATGGTTAAAATCAATTTCGCGTGCCAAAAGCTAAAACCAAAAATATTACGGAAAGGTTCATATGCAATCTTATACACCACCAGTTATAATTATCCTTATTTCGTCGTTGCAAGTTTAATTAACCCTTAGATGATAATTTTCATTTCTAATTTACAATTGAACCCTTTTAACCATAATCTGAGCTAAAACAAGAGTCAAGACCAGCAAAGAAACTATCTTCCTCTGCATTATCTATATTAAAGGATTAGCATCATACAGTGAGAACCAGAAAACACAACTAGGAAGACGACTTTAAGACTCAATTTTAGACTTCAAATATGTTAATGTTCAAGAGAAACAGCAATTATGCAGTGTGGACATTGTCTTCATATTCCACCGTTTTCTGGTTTTCACTGTACAGTGTACATGGAACTGTTAAAAAGAGGAATAGCTAAAAATTACGTCCTTAAAAAATATCAACTAGTTGGACAAAATGTCGTCTTTCTTTTACATTTGACACTTGTGACGTCGTGCATAATTGGTCGATTTTTCTGTTGCTAACTCTAGAAGTACTTAACAATCCATTTGAAAAAATCTATCAACTTTCCTAAGCCTATTTTTAAGAGTGGAGAGAACCAGCGGGAAGTTTGAACAGGTTTCATAGGTTGGAGTTCGGACTAAACTCTCCCCATATTCAGCTCGTAGGGAGTTTAGGCGGTGGTAGAAGGGAGTATCTAGGGTTAGCCCACCTGAATAATACAGGGTTAACCCAAAAGGATGAGACATTAGAGACGACTTTTTTCTTATTTTCTCTCTGTAAAGTTCCCTGCAACTCCTGCAACTGACATGACAAATTGGAAATCAACTTTTCTCATCCTTAATAATTATACTTTTCTCCAATTCAATTCACAGCTGACCTGAACCTGAAGTAGGTTTTACTTAGAGGATCAAGAAATCTATAAACATACTTGGATCCGTGAAGGTCTCATCATTTTAGATCAATTTTCACTCAAACCCTAGGAGTAGCTTCCCATAGTTATAAATTTTCAAAATACTTTCCTAACTTTTAAAAGTTCTCGATTAGAATCATGGTTTCAGAGTATATTAATATCAGGTAATTTTCCTTTTTTACCATTATTTAGTTTCAATCAGAAATTAGCCTTATTTCTGAAAGAATTTAGCTCTTGCCACCAACTCAAACTTTGTATTCCTACATATTTGCAACCTGATGGTGTGAATTTTTATTATTTCAAACTTAGGGTTTTGCCTGACACCCCTCCAGAACAGATAAGGAGATTAAAATCACATGGGGTGATCTGTCTCAAGTGAAAGCTGGATGCTTTGGGACGACATTTGATCTGCTTTCAATTTTTGGGACACCAAAAATACAATGCGCAATGAAATGTATTGCAGCATATTGGTAAAACAATTCTAACGAGTACTGACAATAACTATGACATACTCAACGGCCCTTTTCCTAGTCTTTTAAAAAGTAAATTTTCTAATGTTTTTTTTGGCTTAATTTCAACTTGATTTAGAAAGAGTATTTAGATAATAAATATGACTGTAACTACCTTCTATTAAAGCAGAAACAGAAGAACTGAAATGGGACTAATAATTCTTACTTTACCTTACATGAACCGAAGTTAAAAAATATTTCTCACAAAACAAAACAAAATGATTTACGGAAACATTTCCTCATTTGTTATTTCGCAAAATTTCGCACTTTTCGCGAAATTTTTGCATTTATCATCTCCCGAAAATTTTGCAAAATAGATTCAAGCGAATTTTGCAAAAAACGAACATTTTTGAACTTCTCGCGAGGGAATGAAATTTTGGTAAACATTTTCGCATTTTTTTCGCGAAATTTTAACATTTATTATTTCGCCAAAATTTCGCTATACAGATTCAAGCCGAAGATATTTGCACTTTTCGCGAGCAAACGAAATCTGAAAAAATGCGAAATTTTCGGCGATCAAATTTTCCCTTTTCGCTGAAAACCCTATACTAGCTGAACAGGAAAAAGAGGTAAATTCTTTACTTCTTTCTTTCATTTGAAAGAGAAAAATGTTGTTTGAAGCTGTGAACAAATTGAATTCATTATTCAGAAGTCTAGACGTTGGTTGCAAAATTCAATTAAATTTTATCTTTATGAAGGAAATAAAAAAATAGGGGAAGACAATTTTTGATTACAAGGTTTTGGAAAACACAACGTGAGACTTTGACAAGTACTTTTAAAGGGCCCGTGTAAAACTTATTTTAATGCCGAAAGTTCAAACTATTATATAATAAAAAATTGAACGAATGATTTTTCTTAATCATTTCTGAATAAGTAAATTCTTGAATAAAACAAGGTACAGGTTTACCTACAAAGATGACTGGACGGAATTTATTTTGTCATTATTTTAAATTACTATTTCCATGCAGTTGTAATCTTGTTTCTTTTACTTTGCAAATCATTATTACCTTATTAATTCAACATTTAGATCAACATAATTTAGGAGTTTTGGGTATGCATGAAAGTATCATCATTAGAGGGCTACCCTGTACCTTAGAGGGATACCCTCTACCTTAGAGGGCTACCCTGTACCTTAGAGGGCTACCCTGTACCTTAGAGGGCTACCCTGTACCTTAGAGGGCTACCCTGTACCTTAGAGGGCTACCCTGTACCTTAGAGGGCTACCCTGTACCTTAGAGGGCTACCCTGTACCTTAGAGGGCTACCCTGTACCTTAGAGGGCTACCCTCTACCTTAGAGGGCTACCCTGTAGCTTAGAGGGCTATCCTGTACCTTAGAGGGCTACCCTGTAGCCTAGAGGGCTACCCTGTACCTTAGAGGGCTACCCTGTACCTTAGAGGGCTACCCTGTAGCTTAGAGGGCTACCATGTGCCTTAGCAGGCTACCCTGTACCTTAAAGGGCTACCCTGTAGCTTGAACAGCGCAGTGTCTACTCATGTTAATATTTCTTGTACTTTGTATATACTTGGGCGTTTAGTTTTCTATTACAGGGTTACAAAGGACGAGACTTCCTAGACTTTTGTCAGTCTTTTGTCATATATTTTAGTTCCATACAACAAGAAACTTATATTCTAGTTCCATACAACAAGAAACTTATATTCTAGTTCCATACAACAAGAAACTTATATTCTAGTTCCATACAACAAGAAACTTAAAATATCTTTGTGAACTCATCTTAAAGCATTAAATGATAACATTTTAGACAAAAATAAATTTGAACCTTCAGATTGATAAATTTGAACCTTCAGATTGATAAATTTGTCTTTAATGTTGTCATTAAAGTCTGAATCTTTTAAGGTAACCCTGCACAATGTAAACTTCAGATCGAAAACTTCTTTACGCAAGGAATTGCCAACACAAAAGTTCACAAAATAACATTGTATTCAAAAGGATCAATGAACCAACAATTTCAGGACACAATTTATTTGTATCGCATTGAGCATGGAAACAAATATTTCCCTTTACAGACTTCCAGAAAAATACCTTGGTGCTTTTTTAAAATGTGTCGCAAATCTGGAAATATTTTAGGAGCACTGTAGCACCCTAGTGGTTTCAAGCGAAAGAAAACTTTTGCGAAAAAAATGCGAAAATCTGTAGCAGCAATAATTACTTGCGCAAAACAACTTGTGGAATTCTCTGCTCTAAGAGCTCAGCATTCATAATTAATAATTAAGCAAAATTGTTCGCGAACAAATGAAAAATTTGGAGCGTAATTACGCGAAACGATTTTTTTTGGGCTGGAAACCCTAACCCTAACCTACCTGCTGCAGCTTGCACATGATCATCAATGAAAGAACTAAACATTTGTGTCTCGAGGAACCCAGCTAGGAATCCTATGTGGGACTGAACCTAAAAAAATTACATGTTATGCCTCTTTCTCTTCTCTTTATACCAATCAACTAGCTGAAGTACCCGCCGTTGAGCGTTAAATTAGAAAACCACTATGCCCATGGGGTTTCTCAAAATATTTTAGCCAATTCGGTCCAGTCGTTTCGCCAGCTATAGGTAACATATAAATATATATATATAGATATATGAGCCAAGAGCTTTATTATATAGATAAGCTGAAACCCCAATAAATTCTTACATTAGTAATATAGTAGCAACATGAAATCGCAGGCATTAATTTCGTCTACCACTCAACAGAATTAGTTTTTTAAGATTCCCAAAGAAAGCAATAATTTTTTAGGATTAGCAATTACAAGCTGTGTATAGGATGAAACACTTAGACAAACAGAACAGATTTAAAATGTATCGTTGTGAATAGAAAAGACACTATGTTATGAACTCTACGCCACCCCATTCACACAACCTATATCTAGGTTCCGTTCATGGCTGATCTCCTCTGGAGTCCTCCAGGATGGCACTGCTATATGTCTGATACTTTGTGATCTTTATTATGTCCTTGTCTATCTTTCTTTACCATGTCATATCTCTAGCAGTGTCCTTTTTCCAGATACTGATATACCGAAGACCTTAAGGCCTTTCCGTGTTTACTTCGTATACAAGTCTGAACCTCGTCTCTTCTCGTCCTTCTTGAAACCCCAGAGGACTGATCCGGAAGCGCACCTGTCCCTGTTGCTTGTGCGGTACCAGGTGGTCCCTCTCCTTGCTGATCTCCCTACTCCTCACCTAGACGAGACCGCGCGCCCAAACGCGCTTGGACTGAACTAGGAGGACTTACTCTAGCTGAGCAGATACCCAAGGTGTGTATTCTTACGCTAGAATCTATAAACCAGGAGTAATTTAATTCCACTTTATAATCCTGGCAGGCACATTTGAGTCTTCTTAATCCATTATATTTGTATCAATTAAGTAATATGAAAAATCTTACAAACAATAATCTCATAAGTTACAAGCTATTAACAAGACTTCTTAATAAATTAATTTTCCAAATAAGACTTATTAACTAGAAAACTAGACATGAAAATCTGAAAAATTTGATATTTTTATCCACAAGTTATAGATAACTTTAAGTCTACATTACACATATATAATGCATTTCAGCGTATACCGTGTACAGTATACTGTGTAAAGTAAGTGTACATACACTGTACAAGCACGTGTTTTCCACTTTTTGAGAAAGAAATTTTTCGTTTTAAATGAACTCAAAGGAAAAATTCAAAATTAATTGATTCAGGGTAGGAAAGTAAAACAAACCTGTTCAGACAGAAAAGATATTTTGTCAAAGTTAAACTGTGAATCCTGTTGACTCTCTCCCGACAGGTTCAACTCCTCTTCAGTATGAATTACAAAATGGTGGAAACTATGGAAAATGTGAAGAAACCGGTTTATAAAAATCTCGCGGATAACTGCGTTCAGTCGGAGCTGGTCTTCGTAACCACTACCTAAACGAATACATTTTTTAATAAGAATTATTTTTATATTCCCCTAAACTAAAGGGACTGATTATAACCAGAAAACAATGGGATAAGAAGACGACATTATAGCATTACTGAGGTGTATACTGTATGTCATGTTGATCCAAAGCTAAGTGTTACTAGACATTATATATAATATAACACTAATTAAGTCTACCTATTCCAATGTTTATCACTGTATGCATGTATTTTTCTCTCCTATTATTTACATTTCAAATGATTCAGTTTTGTTAATCACATTTTTTTAGACCAAGGAGTATGAAATAGAAGGGAGAAACAACTGACGCGGCCCGCCCTACCATATGATTATACATGCTTTGCAGACGGTACTCTATTTAAAAAAAAAATAATTTGTCTGATGTACAATTACCACGTATACAATAACCTGTTATAAATAGTTCTTCTACAAATGGAGAACCGTCTGCAAAGCATGTATTGTATAGTCAAATGTTAGGGCGGGACACGTCATTAGAGCGGGCCACGTCAGCTGTATCTCCCTTTTGTTTTATACTCCTTGATTTAGCCCAGGACTTACCAACATAACATTTCTATTTCATAAGCAATTAGTACTACGGACTCATAATTCATTTTTAATATAATTACATAAGACCCATTTCCGAAAGCCCCAGAAGAAACCTATGATACAATGCCCCCCCCCCCGTTCTTTTTATGTTAGTATGCATAGTGATGTGCCGCCTTAAGATCATTTGTGGGTCGCTTTTTCACTATATTTACTTTCAGGGTAAAATTTTGGCAAAGTGTAGGGAAAGCAAATGCTTTAGGGCACAGGTTTTTTCAACATTCGTCAAATTTTAACCCTGGCAGAAGATTTATGCAAAAAACGTTCTAAAACGATCAAAAAACGATCAAAAAACTATCTATAACGATCTATAAAAACGATCTAAAAACGATGCAAAAACGAACGTGCTGTAACAATACTTTTTGAGTCGTTTTTCCATTTTTCCCTTTTCTAGGATAAAAGTATACCAAACTTAAAAATTCAACAGTTTTTAAATCTTGGAATTTTAATAAATAAAAAAACGTTCAAAAATGAGTATCAACACCTGGTAAGAGTAGAGGAGAAAAAGAAAAAAATAACAATTTTTAGTTTTTCTACCTGTTGCTTTTCCAGAACTACTGAGATTCTCAAACTGCTGAATCATTTGGTTCAGACGTTCAACAGTTTCATCTATTTCACGATTTCTGTTCACGTTTACCTGTTCAAGCTGTTCAGTTGCCTACAAAAATCATCAAGTATGTAATTCTAATATTTATAAATATGAAGTAGTAATCTTTGTTGGTTTGTCCGCATGTCCGGTCATAATTCAGGAACCCCTTGACCGATTTACCTCAAATTTTGACAAGGAACTCGGAAGAACCAAAAAAATGTTTTAAGTTAGGTTTAAAGTTAAGTGGGTTCAATTTTTTAATGAAAGTACAATTTTCCAAGCTTGTAAATATATAAAGTAGTAATCTCTACAACAATGTCTGTTTGTATGTCCGATCAAAACTCATGAACCCCTAATGCAATTTGCATTAAATTTAGATATTGGAAATCGTTGGAACATCGGGAATGTTCTCAGCTTGGTTTTAAAATTCTTAGTTGATTAGGTTGACTTCAACAACAGAGAAAGTTTAGTTTCCAAGCAAAGCTGGGTTCCCAAGCTATTTATTACATAAAAAGTTGCAATCACTGTTGGTATGTCTAAGCATAACTCATCAACTCCTTGGCCGATTAGCCTCAAATTTTAAGTAGACTTTTATAGGGAAATGTGTCTTAATAAAAAAAATGATTTTTTACTTTTCAAATTTTATTTTCATGTAGATTTATGAAGTGCTGCAGACGGAATATTTCAAATCCTGTCGAGTGATAATCTGAATAAAATCTTAAATTTCCTTTTCTAAATGGAATTGAATATGAAGAATGTATCTATTCTCAGCATTCAAAGAATACATGAGGGATAAGCGAAGAACCGTCAAAATTAAAGGAACCTATGACCTACTAGCCTATATAGGTTTGCAGGAGGCTTTGCACCAAATTTTCTTGCAATAATTAATAATCCTGATCTTTCTGCAGACCTTCAGTAAATTTTAAAGAATAACAAATTCGATTAAAGTTCTGTAAATTTAAGTTATGTTGATGCTATGCAAGTTTCTTGAATTCTGATGGGCGATTAAACCTTCCAAAGGGTGGTGTGAGTTACCACAAAAACAAATCAGCCGTTTACCTGAGATTTAAGCATTGAAGCCCCCTCCTTACCGCCATATTGAACTATCACAGTTTTAATTTCATCTATCAACTCCTAGAGGGACCAACAAATAAACTAGCTATTTCAGAGGCGTACGTAGGGTTGGGGGAGGGGGGGATATGGGGGCTCAGCCCCCCTCCTGAATCAGTAAAATCTATGCTTTCCAAGGAATTTTAAATTAAAATTTTCTTTAAAATAGATTTTCTGATCTAATTCAATATAAATTATTTCTGTGAACCCTCTCATTATGATAAGCTGAAAAAAAATTATTTGGAATGTTAATTTGAAGTTTTTAAAGATTGCTTTGTATTAAGATCCAAAATATGGAGTAAAAAGTTTTCCTGTATTAAGATCCAAAATATGGAGTAAAAAGTTTTCCTAAAATTAATTTTAAAAATGATTTACTGTAAAAGAATCAATTTCCTTTCAAACTTCTGTTAATTAAATTCTGGCACAAAAATATTCTTTAAGAGGTGAGGGAGTAGAATTTGTTTACCAACTGTTGACCAACATTACCGATCTATGAATTATGATTCCCCCCAAAAAAGGTGCCTTTAGTTACTTTACGTCCCAATTGTGACAATTAAGTAAAATAATCACCCGCACTGAGTAAAACTTCTTGTAAATAATTTTTATTGAAGCAAAACAATCCCAAGAATTAAATTAAAGCCTGTTTTATCTATTTCCTTCTCGTAAGGGAAGTTTGGCAGTTCCTCCGGAAGTTCTAGTTCTCCCCCGTCTATATCCACAATGCAAACTAAACAAATATTGGGCTAAAATAATGATAATCATAAAAAGGTCAGCCATAAAGCCCCCCCCTTTTTCTCTTCATATTTATCAGGGGCGTAGGGAGAGCATTTTTGTTCTTGTGCCCCACCCCTTAAAAACCCCCTTTTTGAAAAAATATTGACACCTTTTTTATCTATGTTAACTTATATTTGATAATATACACACTTCCATATAACAAGTGTTAATAAATTATTTATGTAATTTACTTAAGTGGACTCATCAAACACTTCCTCTGAATACTGTGGTGTAAGCTTCAAAAGGTGAAAAATAGAGATGGAAACGTTGCTTGAAAAATATCTATATTTTCATAGGATCGATACATATTGTATAATTGTAAATAATGATATCAAAGATATATTTACACTGATTAAAGCTTTTTAATGAAACTTGTATAGTTATAAGGGCAAAAGTGAGATTTTAAAGTATTTTTAATATGGGTGCCCCCCCCCCCCCTCGTACGCCCCTGATCTTTATGTATCGAATGCTGAATAAAGGAAATTGGGTTTTTTGGAGAAAAAATATCTTAAAAGAATAAAGAAAAGTATACTTCCCAGAACATGTAACAATAAAATTCCCAAGAAAGACCAGGTGGATTATTACAATTTTTAAAAAAATTTTAATTTCAAGTGAAGAACATTAATTAACGTTTTTAAAGGGACCGTTCACTTATTTATGTAATTTCATGGTAAACTTAACAGCCTATTAGCTGTTAATTGGCATTAGTCTTACTTTCAAAGACAACTGTGGCCGGAGAAAAAGCCGATTTTTCGTTGAGAATTCGAGCGCAAAGGGACAGTACCTTTGTCTGAAACACTATACTATGCGTTTTACAGTAACAAAAGCCCGAAAAATTTTAAATTTATCATATTTCAATGCCAATATGTGTTAGTAATTACATACTAAAATATGAAAACTTTTGATATTTGAGTCAGCAAGAAATTTACGTTTCTCGTATTAAAACGTTTATATGTGTATACAAAGACGACGTATTCTACAGCAATCAATTAATCATTACGCAATTTCGGTAAGTAGATGCTCCGTGTTCGATATAAATAAAATGTACTATCTCACAATTTAAATGATGTATTTGTGAATAATCCGAAATAGTGTATTTTATTATGGACCTGCCATGCAATATCGTTCAGGCCCAGGTGCATATTCAGAATAAATCAGGGGGCGGAAACGTCATGTATGTGTGTCTGTACCAAAAGAGCATGTGTAAGTAATACCGAACCGTAGGCGTGTACTGCAGTAGGTATATACAGTGCTTAAGAATTACAGTCTAGGAGAGTACATTTGTTTATTGTTAATTGGTAACTTAAAAATAAGTTTAGTATACATGTAATATATTGTTTACTATATTTAAGTCAACACTATAAGTCAACAATATAATAAGCCAAATTTTCATGCAAAGAATATAACTCGATTAAAGTTTACAATAAACTACTCGTTATACAAGCTTAATTATAATTGACGACAGTTTTCTGCAATTTCCTTGACTGTAGTTGTGTTGTGTGTCTGACCAAGAGAGTGTGCGTGTGTAATAACGATCCTAGTCTGAAAAGCATTACACTGAGTTTAAAAACTATCTAAATAAGGTTTGTGATTTCTAGGATTTATACTGTCCACCCCACGATCTACACTTCCTAACCTATGCCCCTCAATCAAATGTCTAATGTATTTTCAAACCCGTAATTCAATTATGTTTTATTTAAATCCATATGCGCACAACTTTGTATTTTCATGCCGCGTTCAATTCAGCTTTTTACAGAAGGAATACAGAATTTCAATGTTATGTTAGAAATAGAAAGTTGAAAACAAATTTTGAAAAAATTAAGACATTTACAATTAACTATTAGATACTACAGTTTAATTTTATATTTGAATTTTTTTAATCCATGACAGACAAAAAACATCAAATCGTGTTTAGACAAAGATACTGTACCTTGAAATTCTGAACAATAATAAACTTTTTTCTCCGGAAAAGTAAGTCCAATACCAATCAATAGCTAATAAGCTATTTAGTTTACCATGAAATTACCCATATAAGTGAACGGTTTAAGCTGAAATCTACTTGTTAATTGTTTCGCAAAAGATGGATAATTAAATTAGATTTAATGGTAATCTCGTGTTAGATGGAACACGTTTATATTTATAGAGCTTTATTTTTTTAAGAGATATGTTGAGAAGAATAACGAGCTTTGAATTTATAAAATGCAACTAAATAAATATGCCTTAAACTAAATTTAATCCCAACTTAAGAAGCTACAAGTCGTGGCAGTAATTTAGCAAAATTATGACATTTTCTTATAAATGGTCCGAATAATAGATAGCAGCAAATTAATTGTAAACTTAAACAAATTAAAACTTTAGGCAGACGGCTCAGGCCTAAAACGCATCCTTTGTAGAGTCTATTCTAAGGGGAAAAAAAACATTTAACTAGGTTTAATCGCCTAATTTTGATTTTAGTTCAAAACAATATATACTAAGCTTTTTCTATTTATTTATGGTATAAAAGCATAAACAGTATTACATAAAAAACCAATCGAGTCGTCGAGTCTGCAATAAGGTGTCAACGAGGGGTGGAAGGCCAGCCACAACAATTTATAGTCCGAGCCACATTCTCCTCATTTTCACGTCCGAGCCACATTCTCCTTTCAATATAATATTTGTATGCGTCTTATCCTCAAGAATCGGGCATTAATGAAATATTGAATTTTTGTGAATCGACATCATTTTATGGCTTTCAAGATTCCAACAAAATGTAATCATTGCAATACTTTAGTCTATCCATATTTTGTGCCCTAACATGGCCCGATTTAAAAAAAATAGTTTTATCTTCGAGAATTAGAAAATTTAAAACTTAAAATAATCTAAGGACGAAGATTTCGAGGTGGCTCGGACGAGAAATGAGGAGAATGTGGATCAGAGGAAAAATTGTTGTGGCTGTCCTTCCTCCCCTATGTCAACTGTCCACAGTTTCTGAAAATAAATGCCTGAGCACAAATCTAAAGTTTTAGCTGAATGTCTTACGAACATTATGATAAAATCGCTGCTCGAATAGGATACAATCGCTGCTCGAATAGGATACAATCGCTGCTCGAATAGGATACAATCGCTGCTCGAATAGGATACAATCGCTGCTCAAATAGGATACAATCGCTGCTCAAATAGGATACAATCGCTGCTCAAATAGGATACAATCGCTGCTCGAATAGGATACAATCGCTGCTCGAATAGGATAAAATCGCTGCTCGAATAGGATAAAATCGCTGCTCGAATAGGATACAATCGCTGCTCGAATAGGATACAATCGCTGCTCAAATAGGATACAATCGCTGCTCAAATAGGATACAATCGCTGCTCAAATAGGATACATTCGCTGCTCGAACAGGATACAATCGCTGCTCGAATAGGATAAAATCGCTGCTCAAATAGGATACAATCGCTGCTTAAATAGGATACCATCGCTGCTCGAATAGGATAACATATTTTTCTTTATGTAATCATGCCATTTATAATTTTCTTCGGAATTATCTGGGAAAATGTTCAAAAAATTCGAAAAACGCAAAACGCACTTTTTCCTTCATCGGGCGCGCATTTATTAAATTTAGCGCACGCCATTTATTAAATTTAGCTTAGCATTTTTGGTAAAATTTGTCTACCCCCCCCCCCTTTAATACTGAGATGTGGGCCTCTCCGGAGGGGGCCCTGTATATGGAATTTGGAATCTTTAAATCCAGGGCTACAGAAATTTTAAACGACAGGGAAGGTTAAAACAAGGCAAAGGCCTAGAAAAGCGGTGAGACATTTTTTTGAATCCATTTTATCCACCTGGAATTCAAAGGTATGTTTATAAAACACATTTTTCAAAAATTCAATTAAATGATAAACCTTGTGAAAAAATCATAAGTGTAAGTAAAAATAAAAAATTTAAGAATCTTAGTAATACTGAACTGGCTTGAAAACCGTAATTAAAAACAATTTTAAGGATAGAAAAGTATTGAGGATTGAAAAAGTTATAAAAGTTTTGGACAAAATTTGCAATTTCTTTAAAAAAATTTCCTGAAGTACTATATTTTTTTTTTTTACCTAACTCGTTCAAATTGCAATATTTTACGATTTTGTTAATTGATTTGAATTCAAAAATTCAACTCAGTTTCAATGATACCCAATTTGATAGATTTTAAAATTTTTATTTTCACTTCTACATGCAACTTTTTTCACAATTGTTAACATTAAAGGCAGCTTTGTTTTTATATTTCTGAATAATGCGTTTGTTAGACTTGGCTCAATATTCCTAGTAAACAATTTATTGCTTTTGGAAAATTATTTCAGAAAAATTTCACACCCTTAGTCTAGAAGCTTTTAGTTGCATTGCACGGCCGGAGATAAGAAATCAGTCAAAATAATCAAAAGTATAATTAAATTTTATTTTGATATCTCACCTGAAGCTCGACTGTACAGGTTCATATCGTGGGTTCGTCTGAAAATTATTATTTCAAATTAAATTTCTAACAATTTTCAAATTAAATTTAACCAGGTAGCATCAAATATCAAATCTTACGTTGCTAAAATATTTTTAAAATTTGAAGAAATTAGAAATTTGATGAAATTAGAAACTTGTAAATTTGAAGATATAAAATATGGTTATACAATATAAATAGAATTTAAACAACGTGAGGCACTAGAAATTAATCCAAATATAAAACAATTTGTAAGTTATCGCAAGGTGACATTTCTAAATTAAAGTCTAGAATCAAAAATGATCAACTCATGACATGTTACCACTTTAATTGTTTAAAATATTTTCAGAAACTTAACTCATCCTAACATGTGATTTCCCTTCAGTTGGTCATTTTGTCTAATTTTATGTCAAAATTTAACATACTATATGAAGAGAAAATGGTTTTAAACGTTAATACACTATTTGCTTTCGTTGCAATATCGTCAAATTTGAACCCTGACCGAAGGTATATACTAAAACCGACCCTAAACGAACGTGGTGTAACGATCGTTTGTGGATCGTTCTTTCATTTTTTTCGAAAAAAAATACGCAAAAACAAAATGCAGTTTTGAAATCTTGGAAGTTTAATTACTTTTTTAAAACAATCCAAAACGATCCAAAACGATCCAAAACGATCCAAAACGATCCAAAACGATTCAAAACGATTCAAAACGATTCAAAACGATTCAAAACGATTCAAAACGATTCAAAACGATTCAAAACGATTCAAAACGATCCAAAACGATCCAAAACTTACCATAACGATTCAAAGCGATAAACAACACTAAATTAACCGATTTAGATTGTCTATTTCGATTCAAAAGTTTTAGAATAATTTTCAAGAATAATTCAAGGAAAGAAGCGAATATTTCCTCAGATCGTTCCCTTGGCATTACTTTACAAAATTAACTGAAATGAAAAGAGCAAGATTTCTGTTTTAAGATAGAAATTGAAGAAAACCATCAAGGATTTACAACATGAAGACCAGGATAATGGAAATGATATTGTTTTTATCTTCTTTCTAAATGAAAAAAGCTCTTCACACATATACATATGTTTATATGTTGAAACAGAATATGTCACTATAGCTACAAGGATTGAAGATAAAGTTGACAAAGTTATGAGTGATCTTCAGGCATTATCATTGCTTGTGAAAGATAAGCAGGGCAAATCTGTCAACGAGGAAATGACCGGCCAGGCGAAGTATAAACCTGCGTGCTTTTTCTGTCTGGACGAGTCTCATAAGGTGAGCGCCTGCTCCGTGAGGAAATTCTGCATAGGGTGTACAAGTAACCTACACCCATACGACAGGTGCGACTTTAAGGACTCAACTTGTGACAGGTGTCAGATGGTTGGCCACGATAGTAAAGTCCATGAGACCAGTGAAATATCATTGAGGACGGAGTTGATTACTCTCAATCCTGTCGCCTTCAACCATTTTCTGGCTCCAGTGGTTTCAAAAGGGCCCAAAGTAGGCATTCACCGTGGATCCAGAGGACGTGGAGCACGAGGACGTGGAGGACGAGGACGTGGTTACTATCCTCAATGGGACTAATCTATTCTTTTCAATGGTAAAAATGTTTGCCAATCCTTTTTTTGGTTTCTTTCCTTTTTTAAGCATTTTAAATGTAATGAGGTGGAACCTATTTTATACCTAATATTGTCAATGCTTGCCCGTAATTTGTGTTAAATGTAATCATTCATTGATTCTACTTATAAGTACCTAGCCCTCATGATTTTCATGGGTTAGACTTCCTACTATCATTTCCAGTTGAAATGATGGTATTTTATCATTCAGTGTGTTTGCCCTACTATTATGGGTATTAATTATTCATTGTCTTTAATTATTATGTTTTAACATGTAGTCCAGATGTCTGTTGATTAAACATGTTTAATAAATCATTTATTCAAGGAAGTTAATGGAGGAGTAACAATTTAGTAAATGCATTTAGTCCAGGTGGTTACTAGATTCTCTATTATTCAAGGTTTAAAGGACTAGTTTGGGTTCCCTAATATGATAGGGATTTAATTCTGGAATATTATAAATTCTTAATTATTAAATAAATTTAATTCTCATTCTCTCTTGTATGAGTACGCCGAAACATTTGGTCATAACGAATAAATTACTTTAATTTAGTGTATATTTTATGGAAGTGTGTATCAATTGTGGATTAAGTTAATTATATTTCTGTACAGGTACTGGTACAGGTGCAGGTACTTTTTCAATTACAGATACTGGTACAGTGTCAGATGCTGGTACATGTATAGGTACTGGTACAGGTACATGTATAGGTACAGGTACAGGTACAGGTACAGGTACAGGTACAGGTACAGGTACAGGTACAGGTACAGGTACAGGTACAGGTACAGGTTTTGTGGTTAATGTTACAAATAAAGGTAACTACAAGTTAACTTCGAACAAGTTAAGAGTAACAGTAACTTTTATTGTGCATGTTTCAGAATAAACCAGTGAAATTATCCCCTAATAATCGTAGTAATTCCCAGCATGGGGAAAGGGAGAAACAGAAGAAAGGCAAAAAAGCCCAGGCAAAAGAACTTATCTGCTGGTGCTAATAAAGAGGAAAAATTAAAATTAGTTCATTGGAACATTAATGGAATATTGAGAGATTCCAAGCTCGAACATCTAGTTGAAATACTCAACAAAGAGAGCATAGGAATATGTTTTCTTAATGAAACGTTCTTAGTACACGGTACAAATGATGACCTGTCTAGTCTTGATTCATTCATTGTTTACTCCAAAGAGCAACCATTTGGATCTAAAATGGGGGGAGGTCTGATGACCATCATTAAAAGCATCAACCATTCCTGGTGGGAGCCCGGGTTAGTTATGCATCCTTACCTAAATGCTGATCGATCTTGGTTATTGGTGCATGAAGGTGGACGAAATGTGGCTGTATGCTCTATATACTGTGCAGCTGAAGTGCATGGGAGCTCTTATGATTCGTGGAATTTTGACTTATATGCAATGGTATCAGCTGAAATGGTCACTATTAGAAATGAGGGGTATGAGTGCTTGATTATAGGGGATTTTAATGGCCACATTGGATGTGACGCACAGGGAATCCCAGGGAACAACCCAGATATAAATCATAATGGAGCACTTGTACGTGATTTCATTCATTACACAGGACTGAATTTGGTTAACAGTGACCAAGCTCGGTGTTCAGGTGTCTTTACAAGAGCAACATTAAACTCTATTTCATGTCTAGACCTAGTGTTAGAGGATAATAAAGTGGGGGAGCTAGTCGAAGAACTTTTCATTGATGAGAATAAAGAAGTATTGGGTGGAAGTGATCACTCAGCTTTGTTTGTAACTCTCAAAAATAACATCACCCAACTACCCCTGGATGAACCTGAAGAGGTTCATGTACCTAACCCGACAAAAAAGAATGCAAACAAGTATGCAGAGCGGCTTGACGCTTTACTGAAAGAGCAAGACTGGGCTAAAATGGATATTAACGCTCAGTGTGAGTTTTTTATATCTTCTGTCAAGAGTGCTGCAATGCATTTGGCTGAGTCAAGGCCACAGTTCAAGTACAAGAAACGTTCGTCAGGCCATGTGGTTAGACGGCTTCGTGCTCGGTACATGGCTTTGATGTCGTCAGTACGGAAATTATCAAAGGACTTAATCAAGGTAGGACTTGATCCTAAAACCATTCTTAGGACTAAGATTGAAGAGGCTACAAAAGCTAAGCTCAGGTACAGAGAAATTGTACAGGAAAAGAAGGAACGTAAAATGATGAAGATTAGATTTTCAGCTAATGTGAACCAAAAACAATTCTGGAAACTAGTTAGAAGGGCGGAGCGCAAAGTAAGTAGCCTTTCTTCAATAAGAGATGAACAAGGAAACTTGATAACAAACCGGAGTCTGGTGGAACGTATCGTACTAGAGCAGTTAGCTCTAATTTTTTCAGGGAAGCGCTCCCCAATATTCCAAAACCGAGGTGACCAAATCATTCAGGAGTCGGCAATCAAGGATTCCAGTAACTGGAAGGGATGGATTATTCCAGAGAGTGATCCCTCAGAATATGAGGCAGATGTATGCGCTCCAGTTACGTCAAACATGGTTCAGAAATTAATTAATGGGCTGAAGACAGAGCGTGCTCCAGGGATAGATGGAGTTTCTTGCCAAATGTTAGTGTATGCGGGTCAAGGAGCCTTAGATCTCCTTACTTGCATGTACAACAACATGCTAAGATAAGGTACAGTCCCAGAGATGTTGTCAATAGGACGTATGACCTTGATTGATAAGAAATTACCATCACAGGTGGTCACGGGTAAATGTCCTTTAACAGTTTCAAGCGTTGTTCTTAACCTGTTCTCTAAGATAATCCATGAAAGAATGGACAGAATATGCGAAGAAGAAGGATATTATGGACCAATCTAATTTGGATTTAGATCTGGTAGGTCAACCACAGATTGCGTTTTTATACTTCTTGCAGCCATAAGGAAGGCCAAAAAACGAAACCACGTAATTTCTTTGGCATTCTGCGACATCGCCAAGGCTTATGACTCAGTAAACAGGGAGTTACTACACACAAAATTGGATGCAGTAGGTTTTGGTGGAAGAGTTAAATCAATCATCCAAGCCATGTACTACAATGACTCTGTACAAGTCCGAATTGGGAGTGGTTTGTCTTCCCCATTGTGGTTCACTAGAGGAGTAAAACAGGGTTGTGTATTGTCACCACTTTTATTTGCTTTGTACCTGTCGGGGTTAGGTAAAGCCCTTCACGCAATGAAGGAGGGAATTAATTTTGAAGGGTTAATAATATCAGCCCTCATGTTTGCGGATGATTTAGTCCTCATTTCTAGAACAAGGATTCGTGGCATGAATAGACTTTTGCATGCTGTACATAAATTTTGTCAAGACATGCATATGAAATTATCTGTTGATAAGACAGTCATGCTGTCGACAGGAACAGGAAATACTTCCTGGAAGATTTCGGATTCAGAGCCAATTTTGGAATCAGCTCTTGTAGCTAAGTACCTGGGAGTGGAGGTAGGCATGAAAGGGAGAAACTTGGTCAAAGCTCGGGAAGCCAAAATGATACAAACGGCTCGAGCTTACGCTCATACTATCATGGGGTGTACTAGGGTTGGTCTGGACAGATCCTTGACGGCAAGTACTCTATGGGAGTCATGCGCCATACCAGCTATCCTATACGCTACTGAGGCCATGGTGATCACCAAGGCAACTATATCCGAGCTTGATAAGATCCAAGGAGCTGTAGCAAGGTTCGTCTTGCAGCTCCCATCTTCGGCTTCCAAAGTTTCAGCCTATTTGGATGCAGGCATGAAACCTTTCGGCCTCAGGCTGAAGGCCAGGCAGCTATTGTTTCTCCACGCAGCTACTAGACCTAGGAAAGACAAGCTAGTCCGTATGGTTGTTGAATCAATCCTCGCAGACAAATCTGACCCCTGGACAGCTCAGGTACAGGAAGGAATTGATAACCTCCCCCTCCGGAACTTCTTTTCAGCTAACAGGAGACTAATCAAGGAGGCCATCAAGCAGTACCAAGTCAACACAGTACGATCCTTGAAGGGAGAGTTTAGTAGCCTGGCATGGATGAGTGAGCCGGTCAGATGGTTCACGCTACAGCCGCATGTGAACGACTCCCAGGAGAGCAGAACCATTAACAGGTTCCGGGCTGCAGATGTAGGACTAGGAAACAGACGTCCAAACTCTTGGGGTTTCCAATATACAAACTGCCCACTTTGCGAAGAGGATGGGAATGTGTTCGTCCTCAACGAACTACATGTTATTCTGTGCTGTCCTTCCGTTGGATTTGAACGATGGACTAGAGACATAGACAAGTACACTGGGGAATGCAATGTACAAGGCCTTTACTCTCCAGGAGAAATTATGAAAGATTTTTTGGGGGGTGATGGAGCTAATAATGTTACAATGATGGGCAGGGCAAAGGACCTGAAATGCTTACTTGATGCATGGTTATGTTTGGTAGCTCCAACTTAAAAGGTAATGTCAGGTAGCCTAGTACTTCCCTGGTTGGCTGTGGTAAGATACACCTCTGGACTCTGATCCTGCCACGCCTCCTGGTAGTATCTCTCCATTATGTGTTTTGGAGGCCGGGGGGGGGGCAGGGCTTAAGTTACTTAACCCCTTGGGCGGTCTGGGTCTCCCATATTGGGGGGATTTTCAGATTTAAATCTTTATCTTTATATATGTTAGCTATAGCTGGCCAAACGGCTTGACCAAATAGACTGAGTTTGTTGAGGGAGCCCTTGAGTACCCCCGGCCGGGGTAGCATAGGCGAAAAAATTAGATTCTTTTATCAAAATTCAATTTTTCTCTCTCTTAAACTTGAATTTGCTAATTTGAAAATATTAATCTACTTCAATTAGTATTTGAATAAAATATGAATATTTGAAGATTTTATTCTCTATGTATAAATTTTAATCACAAGTAACTCTTTATAATCTCTGTTTGTCTATATGTCCGATCATAACTCGGGAACACCTGGACCAATTTGCCTCAATTTTTACTTTAAAATCCAATAGAACCACGGTATGTTCCTTGTTTAAAAAATAAGTTTCTAGACGCTGGGTTCCCAAGCTACTGCTATAATAATTGGATTTACTCTCTAAAAAACTAACGATAACGCAACTCTTTGGAACACAGTATTTTCGTTCAAAACTCAAAATACTTGATTATTAAAAATGAATAGCCTACCAATACCGTAAATAAGATAAATCTTCATTGAATGGTCGAAAATAGGTTCTTAAGTGAAAGCTAACTGATTTTTAACCAGCACTAATAAAGGGTGTCCCATGAAACATGACAATTGGCGAATTGTTTTGAATGTCTTTTTCCATATATTCTATAAGATATTAAAGACTTTTTCCAGTTTATTTCGTTAGAAAAATCTTTTACTCAAATATATTTTCTTTAAATAAATTTTACTATAAAATGATTGCCATGTTATATTTCTTTTCAATGATAATTAATCTCGTTTGTATCTAAGAACTTAACATATTATGGAAGAAGACATTTAAAACTATTCACCAACTGTCATGTTTTGTGGGACACCCTGTCTAGTGTATATGGCATCACTTATCGTAAATGAAATTTGTTTATTATCAAATCTAACTTACCTAAGAAGTCCCATAATATACGGGACAGGGGCGTCCAAGAAATTCTCTAGCATAGGGGGCAGGATAGGGACGTAGACATGGGGCCATTGAAAGGGGGCAATCAGAGCTAGGATAGATTCACAAACAAGAACCAGTTTCTACAATTCCAATAATATCATCCATATTCAAGATTTAACATTTAAAATCAATATCTAGAAAGGGTAACAGGGGCAAATATTGAGTCTGGTTTTCTATCCGACTAAAGCGAATTCGAAGGTTTTTGGCACGTATTGTAATTAAAGGGACTGTAAGCGTAATTTCAAGTGACCCTCTAAGTAAAGAGGTCAATGCCCGATTTACAACGGTACCCTTGAAACCTTTATGTGTTCGTCGAGTAAAGAGATGTGTGTGTGTAAACTTATCTAAATCCGCTTGTATGATCAGCTGCTAATTCCGCTGCGTTGAGTTCATACTGTACGCAGTGAACACCTGATTTATCATCTCATAATACTAACAGTCCCTTTAAAACGCAAATCTAAATAATAACTGTGTGGGGTTGAGCATCATGAATTAAGATTCCTGACAATCAGCTGAGAAGACAAGAATCTGATGTTCAAGCAGTAAACAGGTCATCAACTTTACAGCATTCTCAACCTAACAAAAAAGAAAATGTGTTAATCTTTCTCTCCCAAAATTTCAATGTCTATTTCTGTATAATTCAATTTTCATTCATTCTTGGTGCCCCCCCCTTCTTGTGTGTATATATATATATATAAATATATATATTGATTTAAGAGAAGGGCTGTAAAAAAATGTGCTCCGTGAACCGCGGGTCCATTGACTAAGAACGTACTGACTAGATTGCCCGAAATCAGAAAATGAAAAAAAAGAGAATTTAACATTCGACCCGTTCCTCGTATCAATCTGCCTACCTTGATATCTATCTATCTATCCCTATCTATTTATCTATCTATCAATGGGAATTTTGGAATCGTGCATCCCGTCCTCAAACTGCTCATTGATTCCAGAAAACCAACCTTCTTCAATTCTTCAATTCTTCAATTCTTGAATCAATCAATCAATCAATATAGCTCCAGCTACTCGGAATAAATTGGAGCAAGGTTCTTTGGGGTCAGAGTTTCAGGGTTCTTGGAGGGTTCTTGTGGAGTTCTTGGAGGGTTCTTAGAGTACTCAAGGATTCGCGGATTTTCTAATTTTTCCGCTGAGATCAATTAGTTTAAATTAGAGCAATTTCTACCTACCTACCTCCAACTATCTACCTATACCTACCTACCTATCTACCTACCTTCCTTCCTTCCTACCATCCTACCTACATTCCTTCCTTCCTACCATCCTACCTACCTACCTTCCTACAGACCTACCTAACTACCTACCTACCCCAAACTACTTGGATGTCAACCTTCATTATTATCTATTTATCTATCTTTCTATCCATCCATCTATCTATCTATATATCTAACGAACTGTCTATCCATCTATTCTGGTTTTATAAAATCATGAAATATTAAAATTTTGTCTGAAACGAAAGGTATTGTATTAACCCTATTAACCTCGCTAGAGTATCTGTTAGCGAAAACTCAACAAAATATCAAATAATTTCAAGTAAATAACTTACGTCAAATTATTTCTGAATATTATATGATATTCCAGACAGAAAACAGGTGTTTTGAGGTCACATTTTAGTCTCCTAAAAACCTTTAAGTCCTAAAAAAATACTTGTATGATATTTTATTACCAACTAAGTGTTCTATTACAACTAAATCCGCTCTCATACATCCGTGAAATTTTCACAAAAACTGAATTTATTTTAATCTTGGCTTTTTGTGGCGGCTTTAAATTCGTTCCTTTCAAACTCCGGGCATGTCCCTAATATTCATTTTCACCTTTTCTTCATTTCCTTCCTTTCCTTCATTTCCTTCACTTCCTTCATTTCCTTCATTTCCTTCATTTCCTTCATTTTTTCATTTCCTTCATTTGCTTCATTTCCTTCATTTCCTTCATTTCCTTCATTTTTTCATTTCCTTCATTTCCTTCATTTCCTTCATTTTTTCATTTCCTTCATTTTCTTCATTTCCTTCATTTCCTTCATTTCCTTAATTTCCTTCATTTCCTTCATTTCCTTCATTTCCTTCATTTCCTTCATTTCCTTCATTTCCTTCATTTCCTTCATTTCCTGCATTACGATAGTATCAATCACATTAACATACAAAGATAAAGAATCTTTTACAGTTACCATGCTTTATTTTTTATGTCGCTCTGTAAATTCCATGCAAAATGTGTTTTTGTTTTGCACTTTTCAACAGGGTGTCACAGATATACTAACCCTTGGGTTCATTAGAACATGGTGTCTCATAGATAATAATCATTGTGTAATTTTTTTAAAAATTTAATGTTTAGTGAAAACCATTTTTCAATTTTGAAAACAATTTCTAGACTTGTTTGTACTTCTTTCTTGCACTATTAAGCATTTAAAGCGTGTGGCTTGATCTGTTTTGTTCATTTTGGCTTGAATTTGATGATTCAGGCAGTATATATATAAACTGTTAATTGGTACTTTTTCCATTTGATTCCTCTTTAATACCCGCAGTTAGGAAAACACATAAAATGGAATTAAATACATACATTCTTGCAGACGATAAACACAAATACAGAGATAACGACACAGAACGGAAATAAAAACGAGATAACGACACAGAAAGGAAATAAAAAATGAGATAACGACACAGAAAGGAAATAAAAACCAGATAACGACACAGAAAGGAAATAAAAACAGATAACGACACAGAAAGGAAAAAAAACCAAATAACGACACAGAAAGGAAATAAAAAATGAGATAACGACACAGAAAGGAAATAAAAACGAGATAACGACACAGAAAGAAGATAAAAACGAGATAACGACACAGAAAGAAAATAAAACCGAGATAACGACACAGAAAGGAAATAAAAACAAAGACAAAAAAAGATAGGATAACAAGTTGTGCTTTAACACACGAGCCAAAAAAAAAGGCCAATCACCAGCAGATTTCCGTCGATAGAGTTGAAGTTAGTATAAGATTTGCGCGAAAATTTTATTAAAAATCTCCAAAAAATCTGGTGTTTTTCAAGCAACTGCTGATGACACACGAATACCGTTATAAATTGACTGATTGAAGACTTTTTGCTAGTTACTGGATTTTAGGACGAAAATTTGCTGATCATGCATTGCCTTAGCTTCCCCTTTACCTAACACTCATATCAACCTTTTCAAATAAATGAAATTTTTCAAAGGGATAAATATTTTTTTAAATAAACAAGATTTGATTTATAAAATTAAGAAAAGAATTTAGAACAATCAGAATTTTTACTTTTGTGAGAGGGAAAAATCATCGGTAGACAGATTTTGCGAATTTTAGCAAACTTCTTCAGTTGATTGCAGATTTTGATACCTGAAACACTGAAGTTTAGCAGGCTTTTCTCAAATATTAAGAATTATCTATCTATCGATCTATTTGCGTCTTGTCTTGAGGAAGAATTTTTCATTGACCTCGAACAAAAGAAATATTTTGAATTTTAAAAATATTTCTTGAAAAATTTAATTTGAGTTTTGCATTGTTTTGCATGGGAAGAGCAGTTAGGAAATAAGGAAGTGGGGGGGGGGCGTGAGATTTTGTGTTTTTTATCAAATAAATACAGTATTTAGGATTTTTTTCATACAAAATGTGAAAATTAAAATGTTTTCGGTAATTTTTTAAATGTGTATATGTCACTCGTGTAAAATTTTGTATTGAAATGTGAAACTATAAGAAACGAAAGCTAATAAAAAATATGCACCTCATCGTTTTGAAAATATTATGTCTGGCGCATTATTTATTTTATTTGCTAAATATTCGCCCGTTTTTGGGGCCAAATCCATCGTTTGTTTGATATTTGTAAAAGTCATTATTTTTAACGATTTCTTATATTTCAGATGCGGTGTAAACTGTAGTAACTAATGGTAATCCTGGCCAATGATCGATAGGTGAGCCCTAGTCCAACATTAATTTGATATTTAATATTTTAAATGTTTTTAGAAGAAAATAAAACATGTTGTTACTGAAATTACAAACATTTAGTTCGAAATTACTATCAGAATGTGAGGTATAAAAAATTTATGAGATATACCTAACAGTCTGTTAAAAACTTAGAATAACATCGTAATTCACAAAAAATTTTATTCTAGGTATTATGTCGGCAGTTGCGGGAATGAATATTAACCCCGTCAATGGAATCAGTCTCCAAACCTTGCAGTCCATGCAGTCCATGCAATCCATGCAGTCCATGCAGTCCATGCAGTCCATGCAGAATTTTCTGCGACCCCATTGTCACGCTGAAATGCCCCTTACCGTTTCGCCAGGCCAATCCCAAAAAAGGCTTGAACCCTTTTCAAGGCATCAGAGAACCTGGTGGCAAAATGATTTATATTTGTTAAACTCTACTTTTACCTATATCGAATACAAAAGCAGTTGAGAAACTCTCGGATATTTAAAATAATTTAGAAATTTTTGATATTTTGAATATTTCTTTGTTTTGACTTCTTTAGGGATATTTATCGCTGTGTTTTGACTTGTATGGATTTTCTGCAAAATTGAATTCGCGCATTTTTATCCAGATTTCTCGGAAGACAAAACATAATTTGAGTTGAAAATAACAAAACTTTCACACTGTTTGATTTCACCCCCCCCNCTAAACCGGCTACTTCAAGTTTAAGTATGTAAGGGATAACGAGTGTAAAGTGTATTGTCCTAATTGATATTGCTTGTTTTAGCTCCAATTTAGGGAGCCTGTCAAAAAAAATCTAAAATATTTTGGAATGAAAAAAATTTGCAATTTTTAATTTTACTTAATGAATGTGCAGATTAACATATATTTTTGTATCATCCCATCGGTTGAATATGTATATATATAGAGATAGGATAGATAGATATTATAATATTTCTAGTTCAACTGAGTCAAAGCTCCAAATTTAGGTGCTCCAAATTTGGCATATCTTGGTCAGGTCTACTAATAAGGGAACACGTAAAGAGAAAAAGTTTGGGGGGGGGGATGATTTTTTTTCTTAATATTTAAAAATATTAATTTTTTTTATTTTGTGGTGAATATCTTCCCCTGTTGAATCTGATTGGAAACCGACTTTGCTAGTTTTTGCTTGTGCTAGCCCCAACTGTACTAGCCCCAACTGTACTAGCCCCAACTGTACTAGCCCCAACTGTGCTAGCCCCAACTGTGCTAGCCCCAACTGTACTAGNAAATTTCAACAGCCTCAGACCAATACTTTTTGAGTTATGTAAAAAAAACTACAGGGGGGGGTCAAATTGACCCCCCCCCAGCGGGAATAGGGTTAAACAATTTCGTTGTTTTCAAGTTCGTGTAGCAAACGGTATTCATTATTCATGGCATAGAGGTGAAAAGTTTTCAAAATAGATAAAAAAAAGTTTTAGATTGGAGAGACCCGAATATTGTAATTTCGGTGAATATTAATAAAATATTTATAAGTTCATGCATTAACTTGATAATTGTATTATTTTGCGGGAAAATTATGACACGTGTCGAGAACTAAACGTTTATATAAAAAAACAAAATATTTTGAATTGAATTAATAGAGTTTTCATGGAGTAATGTTGAAAGTTGTAATTATAGAAACAAGATTTTGGCTATTTACGAATAAGATTAATTGTTGCAATCATAATGGCTATATTATGTTAAAAGCATAATATACCCCCTTCCCTCCCCCCCCTCCCTTCCCCTC